CGGCTCCATCAGGAAGTGCAGGGTGGCCCAGGGGTGTGGCCAGCCCAGCTCTCCTGGGGACCACAGTGGCCAGTAACAGAGGTGGCTCCCCACAGCTATGGAGCCCAACCAGAAGAAGGTTGGGGGCTCAACCTGTAGTTCTAGACCTTTGGAATCCACCGGAGAGCAGGGCCCATGCAGAAGGCAGCCTTGGTCCCCGATGCCCAGGACCCAACGCTGAGCAGCCTTCGGCCCCGCCATGTTATTAGCCATCACGGCCAGCTTGCTCCCTTGGCACGGGAGGAGGCAAACCAGGCTCACGCCCTGACCCCCGGAGCCTGGCCTGGAGGAAACCCAGAGTCCTCGTTCCCAGCCACACCCGTGTGTACTGGCTCTCCCGTGACAGGAGTTCGTCCAGATGGCAGCAGAGATATGGCAGTTCCCAAACACGCATCTCTCTCCCCGGCACACACTGGGGCCAGACTCCTAGGAGCGGGAGACGCTCTCCCACAGCCTCCCCTGGCTGGGGCCAACGGGACAGGCTGACACGGCCACTGTGCTCTGGGCGGCCCCGCGCCTGCTCTTGGTTCTTGCGGCAGGGCGACCTTGATGAGAGGTCCAGGGATACCTGGTTGGTGGCAATAATATTCTAGTGAGGACTTATGGCCGCATTTCTTTAGGCCTTTTTTTTTTTTAATAGTTTATTTATTTCTTCCATGAGCAAGGGAGAGAAAGAGGTGGCACCCCCGACAAAGTCCTGACATGGCAACCTCCGACCCGCAGCTTCAACCAACCCTGGGTCCCAGGCACACACATGCCTGGCGTCCGCGGGTTATGTCGGGATGTGAACCCGGAGCTCTCTCATGTGGTCCGTTGTGGAGTGCCACGCTTTACCATGGCGCCACTGTTCAGCCTCCCTTGGTATTGTTCTTACCCCCCCCCAATGGGGCAGGTAGATACAGGTACCCCCGTGGTGCAGATGTGGAAAGAGGCTCAGAGTCACTTAGCCACTCGGTGGCAGGACAGTCAACTGCGTGGCTAGGGGGCTCTTCTCAAGTCGCACGCCTGTCCAGCAGGCCGGGGCTGCCTGGTGCTGAGTGGCGCTTGGCCTCCCTCACACCCACTGCCCACAGCTGCCACCATGGTGCTCACTCATTTCCTGTGCCCAGACGGGCCCGGGTCCCCCAGGCCTCAGCGCCGAGGGCTGGCCCTGAGCCGGCACACACAGGAGAGGCTTCGCTCCCACTGGAGACGCTGTGGGGCGTCTGAGAGACCCGGCCATGGCCCTGGGCTGGGACGCAGAGGGGCATCTCATACTGGACCCGGCCTCCCTGTGCATTGCTAAAGTGGAATGTCATTTCTTCATGGCAAACCCCGGGAACGCTCTCAATTCCAGACTCAGGGAGGGGCGGGAACTGCCGCGCTTTCTCCAGCCAAGGAGATGGAGCAAGACCACGGACGCCTCTGCCCGGAACATATAATTTCCCGGGATCGACTGGCGACAGGCTGCACGGGGGGGCGCAGGCCCCCGCCCAACCCAGGATCCCGGAGTTGGCGGGAGGACTAGGCTCCTGGCAGCCATGGCTCCCACCCCAGCCCCACCCCCAGTGCCCCTTGCCAACCCTCACGCAGGGCCATCTCAGAGAGAGGCCTCCAACAAATTACCACTCACTGTTCTAAGAACCCCCAACACCACCTACAGGAACCCTGAAAATAAACAGCCAAGCCCACACCCCATCTGCCCCCTTTCCTTTCCAGCGTGGGGTGCGCTGGAGATCCAGAGATGAAAAGGGAGAGCAGGGCCTACACGGGGCCCCTGTCACCACGGCCCCCCGGCCACCGCCCTGGTGTGGGCGGACTGTGCTAACTTGTGCAGTGACGGATGGGGATTCGCGGAGAGGAAGGGACTTTGCTGAGCCAGGAGAAAAGGGGTCTGGTGTGTTTGGTTTGGTTTGCTGTTTGGCCTCAGGAAATTGGAGCCGGGTTCCTGAACATACCACATAATGTGTCATCAAGACGGCGGTGGATTCCCAGGCTCAGCCGCTGGGAGCTGGAGGGCAGAGCAAGGACGCCCGGCCGCGTCGTCGGTCAGACGGGCTGGGACCAGAGACGCAGCCCAGGTGTGCTGAGCGGTGTCATGGCGCTCCCGCTCCCCCTCTGGCTCTTCCCTTTGTGCACTGAGACCCTCTTGGGGCAGACTAAACACGGGCTCGGTAGCCGGCATGTCCGGACACCCAAAATGAGCATAAAATAATTTTTGAAGGAATATGATATTTCAAAAAAAGCACCAAAGCAGTCATCGTGGGCAGAGCCAGAAAATCACTGGGCTTCCTTATCCTTGGCTTAGGGTTTGGGCTTGTTTGCATCTGGAGTTACATGCTGAAGGGTACAGGCACCGTGTTCTGCTCCCTTCCGAGTCCTAACTGGCTTGCTCTCCTGCCTGGAACATGCACCCAGGATGCCTGAAGCCATGGCTGCTGCCTGCCTGGCACCATTTGGATGAATTTCTTTTTTTTTGTTTTTAATTTAATTTTATTTATCATTATTATGTTTTAAATTTTCCTACAGAGTACGTGTGCTTGAGAAAGAGGGAGAGTGAGAAAGCAAGCCTCCAGGTCTGGGACTTGAACTACAGTTGGCCATGTGGGAGACCAGCACCTTAACCACCACGCCACTTGCTAGTCCCAGAATGAATTTCTTTCTTCCCCTTCCTTCTTCCCACCCTCCCTCCCTCTCTCCTTCCTTCCTCCCTTCCTTCCTCTCTCCCTCCTTCTGTCCCCTTCCCTCCCTCTCTCTGACCCTCCTCCTCTCTCTCCTGCTTTTTCTTCCTTCTGAAAGAGAGACAGGTACCCCCGACAGGCTCTTGCCAAGCCGCAGTCCTCCTAACCCAGCCTCCAGCCAAGCAGAATCACAGGCACACGCCATGTCTGGCGTGTTCAGGCTGACCCTGGATCTGAACCCAGGGCCTCCCACATGGCTCCGGCACCCTGCAGCAGTGCCCTGCCACCTGCACCACCATGGCCGGGCCACTCTGATACAGTTGTTTACCCAAGTGCCGAGCCCACACACCCAGCCTTCCTCCCGCTTACTGCAGCTTCTGGTGACAGTGGCCTCAGTGGCAGAGCCCGATGCAGTGGTGCCCTGACCTTTCTTCACATCAGGGTACCCACAGAAGCCAGCTCGGGGTTCTGACTGTCACCTCGTACCCAGGACCAATGCCCAGGACTGGAGGCACTTCTCGACAGCACAGCTGGGATCCACCCCGACAGCAGGGTGCCACAGCTCTGCCCACACCACTGACCCTTGGTGGCCTACAGAGTCAGTGAGGCCAGGGCCAGCCTGGTGGCATAGCAGGATCACAGCGCTTTGCAGTGTGGGATCCACAGAGAAGGTCCTGGGGTCGAGTACTGGGGCCTCTCCACACACGCCAGGCACACATGCCCGAGACCCAGGCTCGCTGAGGCTGAGGGTGGACTGACGCACTAATACCTGGTGGAATGCCTGTCCTCTCTCGCGTGGAAGAAATACATAAATCATCTTTAAAAAAATAAAATAAAGGCAAGCAAGGCCTCTCAAACGCTGCCATTCCCGGTTGCCAGACCTGCCTTGCAGAACTCTCCATGTTTACCATCCAAATTACCTGTTTCCGCATCTACGTTTTCGCCTGTTTCTTGGACATCAGTGTAGGAGATAATCCAGTTTATAACTGGTAACACATTTAGCCATCAGCATAAGAACGTAACTCAGCTGGGGCCAAGAGAAACAGGCACGAAATGGGGAGTCGTTTCGTTTTTTGTTTTTTCAGTTTTTTGTTATAGGGCACATGGGCTCATAGAAGAGAGACACCGAGAGAGGAAAAGTAAAAAGTCAGCCCCCAGGAAGGATGAAAGGATGACTACACCACAGTCACAAACTCTCCTTCTCGGATTTTGGGCATGTATGCGCATGTGCCCAGTGTAATGTTCAAACTGCCGGGTCTGGGGCTCGAATCGTGGAGTCAGCCATGTAGGGGTTAATATCTTAACCACTATGCCATTTGCTTGCCCCTGAGGAGGTTCCTGAGGAGGTGTTTTTGTTTGTTTGTTTTTTTGGTTCTTTTTTTTTTTTTTTTTTTTGAGAGGTTTTTGCTATAGGGTGCATGCGCTTACTAGAAAGAGACAGAGGGACAGAAATTACGCCCCCCCCCAGGGGGGATGGCCACACTGTAATCCCCTCTCCTCCATCCTCCTCTCAGGATCTTGGGCACGCATGCACACATTCCCAGCATGAGTTTAACCACCAGGTCCGGGACTCGAACTGCAGTCGACTACATGGGAGTCCAGCAACATAGCCATTACGCCAACTGCTGGTCCCACCAGGGGAGTTTTTTTTTTTAAGCAAGGTCTCATGACATCATTCAAATCACATTAGCCTGTGTCCTATCTCACGCATGGGTATCTTTGGTAGGGACACAGTGGGTGGAAAAGACAGGGGTTTGGGACCCTCTGCCACCATGTCCCGACTGAGCAGGGAAGGCCGTGAACATTGCTGGGGTGTTTCCTCATCTGTGAAGTCAGGGTACCGGCCTCTGCTTGGCCTGCTTTCCAGAGCTGTGGTGAGGACCACATGGTGTAGAGATGAAAGTATGCAGTAAATTACAAAGTGTCTTATAAACGAGGGGGGACATAGAATTTATTACTGCCAAACTGGGACATTGCTCTGGTTTAGATAATGGCTCATTCCCAGAGGTTTTAGAATCTGCTTCCCAGTGTCATGGCAGGGTTAGACCTTTAAGAGCTGAGGCCCAGAGGGCGGTGTTTGGATCACAAAGGCGCCACCCTTGTGGATAGGGTAATGCTGTTGCACAAGACCCAGTGACTTCCAGCTCTCATGGGAAGGGTTAGCGCCCACAAGACTGTCGTTACAGAAGGAAGACGGCTGCCCCCAGGTCTCTCTCTTCGCACGCACCAGCCTCCCGTCTCTGTTGGCAGGTTGTGACATAGGCCCGCCTGGTGCTGGACCAGTGCCTTTGGACTTTCCAGCCTCCAGAATCATAGGCCAAATAAACCTCTATTCCTTATAAATCGCCCAGTCTTGGGGATTTCAATTAGCAACACGATATGAGCTAACACAGACATTCTTGAGAGAATCGTGGGGTTTAGTCTCACAGTTAATTCAGGGCAATTTAGAGAGGCTGGCTTGGCCTAAACTCACGGAACGCACTGAGCCCTTCCAGTGCCAAAATGGAGCATGCGAGAAAATGCCCTAAGAGTCATGCCAGGACAGCAGAGGTGAACCAGGATGGTCCCAACAAGCCAGCACCTATGTCCTCCTACACACAAAGGAAAGGGAGCCTCACAAAGGCAAATGGGCATCATGCAGAGAATGTGCACTAGACTCAGAGACACAGGTTCGAGTCCTGGCTTCAACACTTGCCCAAGCTCTCCAAGTTTCAAGGTTAAGAAAAGAAGGCCCAACCCTTCCACCCTCCACTCGTCCAATCTCTAGGACTGTGTGTAGAGATACAATGTGGCCATGGCTGAGACTGAACCCTGTCAGCTCTCTGCAGATGAGAGATGCCAGCACCACGCTTCCAGGTATTGCGATCAGAGCCCCGGGGGCTGAGTCGTACCTCTGGGTGGGCATAGGCTGCTGCCGCGTCCCTCTGCAGGACTGAGCGAATGTCCGGCATGCCAGCCAGGACGCCATCTGAGCAGTTTTCTCTGCCACGCTTGTTCATCTCGGTTCGAATTTCTTCCACCTCCTCTTTGATTTGTTCATTTTCCTTGGTAAGGTTCTTAGAAACTTCCTGAAAAGAGGAAACAAATATACATATATTTTTAAAAGAAGACCCCTTAAGTACTTTGAAGACAAGCAGGAGGCGGCCAGCAGCCATCCTCTGCTCAGAGCCCGGACGTGCGACAGACGGGCTGTGGGGTTGGCAGAGACTCCTGGATCAGTGAACGTGGAGTGGGATGCGAGTCACGAGAAAGCTGTCGGCAGGCTGAGACGCCCTTTCTCCTCAGCTATTTTTAGAGGAACTTCTCTGAAGTTCTTGGCCCCGAACTTGGCCCTACTGAGATCCAACACTGCCCAGCGTGGGCCCCTCCACTAACGTTTCCATGAGCATCTGAAATGGTCCCGCTCCCCTCGAGGTCCTGACGTGAGGTTCGCAGGGAGAATCCATGTAAAATGGGGACATGTTTGCTTTCTGTCTCTTTAACAAACAGGCAGGGCCGTGGAAACGCTCAGACATTGTTCCGTGCAGCCGAGCAGCCTGGTGAGATGCTACTCACGTCCTAGGGGTTAGCCAGGGTGGCTCAGAGCCAGGGACACGGCCACATCCAGGCGGATGGTGACACCCAGACACTGTGGCTCCAGTGACTTCCACAAGGGCTGCCCCGAGAAGACCAGCAGCTCTTTGTTAAACTAACCAGGCTCCTGAACCATCCGCTTGGCTGCTCTTTGGGCATTTTCTTGTGCACCTGACTCTGGCCTGGAAGGGCCCAATGCAATCCCTGGGTTTAGGCCAAGCCAGCCTCGCTAAATTGCACGGAATTAACCGTGAGCACTAAAGTCCAGGAGACGGAGGTCTGCTGAGAATACTGGGACGCGTGGCTCTACCGGGGGTGCAGTCAGTTCTGACGGCGTCACCAGGGCGGCCAGGCAGGACGCTCAAGAGCATGGATTCCGGAGGAAACTGATCCACATGCCAGTGCTGCTTTGCGGTCTGTGTGGCCCCAGGCACATGACCTAGACTCCCCCTGCTTCAGTTTCCCGTCTGTAAAATGGGAATCGTACCGGGGCCAGCAGGTGGCGGACGGGTTAAGGTGCTGGACTCCTCTGTGGTCGACCGTGGTTGCAGCCCTAGACCCAGCAGCCTGGAACTCATGCCGGGTGCATGTGCTTGCATGTCCAATTGTAATGTGTTCATACCCCCGGGGGGCCATTTCTCACTTTCTGACTCTGTCTCTCCAGTGAGTGCATGCACCCCTATAGCAAAAATCTCTCTCTCAAAAAAAAAAAAAAAAAAAAAAAAAAAAAAAAAAAAAAGAAAAAAGAAA